AGCATATCCTGAAACCCGAGAGCAATACGTCAATCCTATTAGAACAGAAAGCAGGCAATTTGTTTTATTTATACCTAATGCACATAGGGAATGGATAACAGCCAGGTCGAATAACAAGCACAAGGCTTTATTTCTTTATGTTATCGTGGACAGGAATGAACCAGACCTAATGTGACACTTTGCAAGTCTGCGCCTAATCAAGGGATTGGGTTCCAGGTCTTTTGTAAGGTTTGAAAAGCGATCCTACACTGTGAGAGAAATGCAGGTAACAGTGTTTACACAGAAAGTCTCGGTTTCAAACATTCAAAGAACATTCTAGAAGCATCTTAGGAACACAAAGATTGTTTTAAAGGATTTATCATTTAACATCAAGAACCAGTTATAGCAATGCAATTCAGATCTTGTTAGTGTGTTTGTAGGTATTTCAACACATTCTTGAATTATCGCATTCATACATTTTCGAAAAATGATCACGCCCCACTAAGAGTTAGATTTAGGGGTTAAGATTCAAGTTTAATTTTATAGAAATCATAAATTTTTGTATGAATCAAATTGTACTAATTCATACAAAATAACTAATTCGTAAAAAAAAAAAATAATTATAAGATCACGTTGGGATTTCTTATTTGTTCTAGTACATGATCATCTCAATGCAAACCCTTTCACATATGAACTTTAAACATGGCTTCATAAGTAGTTTGTTTGAATATTAAGTAAATTTTTATGAGATGGTGAAATTGTAGAAAAATGACCAAAACTTAACAATTTAACATTAATCATATAACTTCGAAATTTTGTACAAATATATAAAAATGGATGTTTATAGAATAGTGAATTTATGGAATAGGTTGATTTTATTGTATTTATGATAAATGAGATTGAGGGCCAGATTTACTAATAGCTTGCGCCAGTGCAAACCGTCTTTTGGCGTTAAAATAGTACTGTCAGGATTTACTAAAGACGTGCAGTGAAGAATTAGCATTGAAAAGGCGTGGACATTTATTTTTGCACCTCACCTTACTGAATATGCATTTGTAGGAGTTCCCAGATTCCCTGAGTTTCAGATGCAAAATTTATGGGAGGAGAGTATTAAAAATGAATCACGCAATGCGATTTACTAACGTTTGCGCTCATCAAATTACTGGTATTTGTGCCCATTATTTAACGCCCCAAAAAAGCATGTCTTAAAGCAGCCGGTAATTTGTGCTGCTCTTGGTAGATTACGCTGGTCATTATGGGTCTGTGTTCTTTAAATGGGACCTATTATGCCCCGTCTTACAAGATGAAAAATATGCGCATTGTCAGAAAAATCACCCTCCTATTGGTGCTTTTATGGAATTGCGCTCTAACGCTAATTTGCCCGGTTTGGTAAATCTGGCCCTAAGTGTTTAATGCCATCACATTCATTTAACACAGTTTATGCATTTACCTAATTTGACATTATAACTAATTAAATCTGGAAAGTTTCTTGAACGTTTCTCCATCATTATCTGATAAATTGGAGTCATGTTATGGCACTGTGTCTGAGCAGCTCAGTTATATGCAGTGGTATTCAAAAAGATTTGTCAATCTCTAAAGTTTTATTTTCGCTGTGGATCATGCTAATATGTTGAAATTGTACATATTAAGAGTCCAATATACAAAAATGTACATGTAATGTCACTTTATGTACATATAGCTATAAAAATAAAGAGATCTCTGTGGTTTTGTGTATATAATGCACCAAAGCAGCACTGGATGCTAGATAAAAGCACCATTGCAAGGATTCTTAGTAGCTGTAACTAATGGCTGGCCTGCTTAAGCTGCGCTGTAAAATACGACTGAGCCTATTTGTGTTTACAGAGCTACTAAAGAAAAAAGTAAATACAAAAAAAGAAAAACTCCAAACAGAAAAGAGTTTGAATCCAGACTAAACAAATTTCAGATAATTTACCTCAAATAATTTACCTCAGGGGCACAAGACGCAGGGAAGTGGAATAAAAATTGATCACCACATTTTAAGAACAATGTTCAGTGCAAGATGCTGCAAAAAATGCGAGATGTAAGCGCAATGGATAAACTCATCCATCTAGTGCATGTTTACACAAAAACAATGGAAAAGAAGAGCAATGGAAGACAAAAACATGTTCAGTGTGAACAGCCTCTAACTGTAATTCAGATCAAGCTACAGTTGCTGCAGTTGCTTTATGACGAATAATTCCATTCGATACATCAGCGGCCATGGTGACATAAAACTTGCCTCATAAACAACATGATTAGACTATTTAATAGTAAAGTTTAAAAGTATTATATTTGATTGATCCACATTTTAACTACAGTGTGTCTACTCACTGCAGTCGCTGTGCAGTGAAGCATTTAATCTACTGTTTAACTATCCTGTTGCCATTGTTTACTTTGTTTATATGCTAAATAATTATGATTAGATCATATTTAACAATATAAACAAAGATTTATATATGCTATAAATTATTTTAATCAAAAACTAACAGAACTTACAAGCTACGTACAGAAAATTCTGGTTTTGGAGGGCAGCCACATTGTCTAATTGAGGCTGGCAGAGAAATTGAGTGATGGACTCTAGTTTCAGCCTGAAGCTCATGCTGATTAATTGTACGAACAATCCTTTCTGATTGAAAGCCGATTAGTACAGCTACACGGAGCGCTGCTGCATTGGGCCAACAGAACAGTGTTATATATGTATATACCAACGGCTTACAACCGAGGCAATGTCATGTTGGTGGCTAAAGACAATTACATGCTTTGCTGCTTGCTGCATGGCCTGTCAGGGAGAGATTCTGATAGAGCCACAAAAAAGCACGGAAGGAATCACATTCTTGCAGACAGAGCGAGGCTGTAAATCTCGGCTGGATGGGATGTAATCTCTCTCTCCCTTGTTTAGCAGGACCAATGTTTCTCGCCTAAGAACACTGGCTTCTGATTCAAAAATGCTTCCTGTGGGTTGGTTTGTTGGTAGAAGGCAGGATATCATATTCTTATAATCAAAGATGTAATTTGAGATTAGAACTCTGTAAAAGAGATAAAGTTAAATTTAATTAAAAATGCTTTTACTTAATATGCGTACTATGTATTTTTATGCTTGCTATCACAGTATGTGCGTTTCCATTACAGATTTGCGCAAAACTTTTGCGATATTTTATAAATGTCGATAAAAAACTTGCGAAATTACGCAGTTTCCATTAACCGATGTTATGCGACTAAAATGTAATTTCTTCCTCTCGCAATAAGTCATGGTGACAGATGTTGGTAGGTTTACATATATCACAGCCATATATGAAGTTTTTTTGCGATATATGGAAGTTTTTTTACGATATATTGAAGTTTTTGCGAAACTGATGTTCCTATCGGGCGTATTTTCAATTCTCAATTTCAATTTGAACAATTTGAAGGGCAATAGAAATGCAGCTACACTTAGCTTAGCTACATGTCAAACAGCTGAAATCAATCATGAGCCGAATATTGAAAAATATCAATACAATGTTCAATTTAATTAAAAATTGGAATAACACACTGTTAGCCATTTATATCCATTTATATTTGGTCTATATATTATTCAATAGTGAAAACTAGCAATAACAAGTTCAATCTCATTAAAAATCTCATTAAAATCACAAAGTTAGCATAGCCACATGCTAATTCAAACAGTTGAAATCAATCGTGAGTTGCTGCCTCTGTAGAGCATTCCAAATGACAAAAGCTTAAAGACATTTGAACTAAAATATACTTTTATATAACATATATTTGATTTATATTTTTATTCAATACTGAAAAGTAGAGACAAAAAAGTTCAATCTGATTAAAAATGGACAATTTTGCTCAATATTTGCAAGGAAAGACACTGTTAGCTTAGCTAATCTCATGTGTTTTACATTAATTTATTTACAGTGACACACAAGAGTTGATGCCTACATAGAGCGTTCCAAATGACGAAGCGAAGTCGAGAAAAAAGTGGACTACCCAATTTGTACCCAATATTTGTCTTGCTGTTGATGTAAAGTCATCCAAATCAGTCACTTATGAGGTTCCTTAAAATGCATTTGTTCATGCAAAGCAGGTTTTGGAACAGAGCTTTAGATTTGAGTTTAGGAATCGGTTGGTCCTATATTTGCATAAATGGTGGCTCACATAAAGGACAATTCCCATAAAAAGAACCTTTATAATGGTCAGGTTCTCTTTATTAGATCTCAGGTCTCATCAGAGCAAGCGTATGAATTTCACTCAAACAAATGGTGCACAGCCTGTGAATGGAATACTAATGAAGCCAGTGGACTGTTAAATGCAGACTGGTCTGTATGAATGAGCATGGATGAATATCACTGGAGCTGAACTGCTGACAGGGGAAAAATGAGTTGTATGAATGGGGCGAGAGAGATTTATAGATCTTAGACATGGTTGGTAAGAGCCAGTGGAGTGCAGTAGAGTTGAATGAACTGGTAGAGCATAACACAATAGATGCAAAAGGGAGAGTTCACTTAAAAATTCTGCCCACAATGATCATGAAAGGGTTTTCGTATTCATATTGGACTTTTTTTGGGAAGTTGTGGCCTAATGGTTAGAGAGTCGGACTCGTAACCCAAAGGTTGCGGGTTCGAGTCTCGTACCGGCAGGGATTGTGGGTGGGGGGAGTGAATGTACAGCGCTCTCTCCCACCTTCAATACCACGACTGAGGTGCCCTTGAGCAAGGCACCGAACCCCCAACTGCTCCCCGGGCGCCACAGCAGAAATGGCTGCCCACTGCTCCGGGTGTGTGTTCACGGTGTGTGTGTGTTCACTGCTGTGTGTGTGCACTTTGGATGGGTTAAATGCAGAGCACTAATTCCAAGTATGGGTCACCATACTTGGCCACATGTCACGTCACTTTCACTTTCTTTCACTTTCACTTTTTAAAACAAATTATACACCATGTTTACACCATTCCACTGAATTCTACAGAGTTATTTACCAAAATGAATCAGAGAATGCCAAAAAGGTTTATACTCACCGAAGAATTTCCTTGCGGGTAAAGAAGGTGCAGTCCTAAGATGAAAAAAAAAGAAAGAAAAGAAAATCACTTTTCACTGAACACACATTTAAAAGACAATTGAGGTTTCATTATAAAACGTTCAAGAAATTAATTGTAACAACATCTAGCTTAAAAAATTTTTACCCAAGTTTTCTGTGAGCAAATTTTCCCTATTTTAGTGATATCTGACAGGCATTAGGACGATTTTTGGCATAATGTTAAAAAAAAAAATTTTTCATTACTGTTTAAAAGTTTGGAGTTCGATTTTTTTTTAAATGTCCATGGAAATTTTAAAAAAGTAAAATGATTTTGATGAAAATGAAGTAAAATTAAGTTTTGATTTTTAAAACTTAAAAAAAAAAAAACTCTTATTGTCACCAATGCTGCATTTATTTGATCAAAAATACAATAAAACCAGTAATATTATTAAATATTACAATTTCTATTTTAATATTTTTTTTTTTTTAAATAATAATTTATTCAGCATCATTACTCCAGTCTTCAGTGCGCATGACCCTTCAGAAATCATTCTAATATGCTGATTTGCTGCTCAGAAAATATTTCTTATTATTAATGTTGAAAGCAGTTGTGCTGCTTATTTTTTTTAGGGTTCTTTGATGACTAGAAAATTCAAAGAAACAGCATTTATTTGAAATAAAATTTTTGAAATCTTAAGTAACATTATACATGTTTTTACTGTCACTTTTGATTAAATTAAAGTGTCCCTGCTGAATATAAGTATTAATTTACTACTATTAAATTCCCCAAACTTATGGAAGGTAGTGTATAGCACCTTTGAGGTACTCTATTTTAAATTCTAAAAATAATAAAAGCATATCAAATAATGTGTCGATAAGCCAAAGCATGTGCTCTGAAACGTTAAACAACGGTTTTGCATTCACACTGCATGACTGCACGTGGATCAACACCTGAGCTCCTCCTTTTTCAACACCTTTTTGTATTAGCACACAATGCCTCTTAGGTTTCACAGTGTTTGATAAGTGTTACCCATCACAAAAAACAACACGCCAAATGAGGCCTGGCAATATGACCGCAGGGAACGACAACAGCTGTCGGCCCACTGTAGCACGAAACGCCTAAAAACCCATTATAAGACTCTTCCCAGATCTGTGGCTCCTTTCTTACCTCACCGCACTCACTGTAGCCGACAGATTTATTAGCTAATGATTAAGCTCTCTTTTATGATGTTTACCCAAACACCAGCCAGCTTTATGCTAAAAAAAAAAAATCCATCCCCCAAATCAGCTGAGCAGCTCACAAGACAGTCCTGTGATTTATGCGCATTAGCCTTTGAGTACTGTTAATTGCTCATTAATTTGAAATATTGAGGCTTGAATCTGTGAGATGTGAGGTAAGGCCACAGCTGCGAGTTATTAACACAGAGGATAGACGACCCGGTGTTAAATTATTACCAGAAACGTAAGCCCACATATCTAATAATGACATTACATGCTCGGAGAAAGAAATGGCTTCTTCATAACTTCTTATAATCACGTCATACAGACATAATATAAAGGTACGAGAGCAGCTGGCATTTACTAAAATCATTCTCACTGCTTCCTTGCGCTGTTACAAATCAAACGTACTAAATAGTCCTGCACTCGACAAATATTTATATACGTAAAAATGGATCATTGAAACAATTTAGCTCGTCGTGATCAGATAAAAGACGTCCGGCAATATTTTATGATATTTTTATGATTTCATTTTTAGTAGGGCTGAAAAGAAACTACAGCATGTCGCCATTGCGATGATTGAATCTTCAGCCTCACGTAACAGAAATATTTTTTTCTTGAGTTATGAATGTGAATTTGCAGTCTGTATTGAATGAGATGGAATAAAAAGACTGTACAGTAAAAATAACGACACAAAACATCCTTGTATTAGAGTTGTTCTGGAGGGCTGCATGCAAAAAGAAACATACAATGTGACCAGTGTAGTCTGATTAAAAAACAAATGACTCTTATGAACCAGTTCTTTTTAGTGAATCAAAAACATACAACGTGACCAGTGTAGTATGATTAAAAAACAAATGACTCTTATGAACCAGTTCTTTTTAGTGAATCAAAAACATACAACGTGACCAGTGTAGTATGATTAAAAAACAAATGACTCTTATGAATCAGTTATTTTTAGTGAATCAAAAACATACAACATGACCAGTGTAGTCTGATTAAAAAACAAATGACTCTTATGAACCAGTTATTTTTAGTGAATCAAAAACATACAACGTGACCAGTGTAGTCTGATTAAAAAACAAATGACTCTTATGAACCAGTTATTTTTAGTGAATCAAAAACATACAACGTGACCAGTGTAGTCTGATTAAAAAACAAATGTCTCTTATGTACCAGTTCTTTTTAGTGAATCAAAAACATACAACGTGACCAGTGTAGTCTGATTAAAAAACAAATGACTCTTATGAATCAGTTCTTTTTAGTGAATCAAAAACATACAACGTGACCAGTGAAGTCTGATTAAAAAACAAATGACTCTTATGAATCAGTTCTTTTTAGTGAATCAGAAACACGCAAGTAGTGTATTCCGATTCACAAACAAATGACACAATTAAAGCAGATATTTTTTAGTAAACCGGAAACATACAGCAGGGCCAGTGTATTCTGATTCACGAACAAATGACACTTTTGAGCTAGTGAATCAGAAACATACAACGCAACCAGTGTATTTTGATTCCTGAACAAACGACTCTCATGAACCAGTTATTTTTAATAAATCAAAAACATCCAGAATGACCAGTGTATTCCAATTCATGAACAAACAACTCTAATAAACAAGCTTATTTTCAGTAACTGAAAAACTATAGCTACAGCATGCATGATCAGTGTAACCAATTTCTGAAATGAATGATTATTATGAACTGGTTCTTTTAATGATTAATTCACAAAAAGATGAGTTTGAATCCATTTGAAACATTGTCTGTATAATCACAAAAGTTGAGAGAACTTCTTTAATATGTAAGAAAAAAGGACATAACTGAAATATACCAAAATGAATCTGAACTGATTTAAATTTAAATTGGAATCGAGTTGATTCTGCAAAAGATCTCCTTTTGTGTTTTACATAAAAGTCACACAGATTTGGAAACAAGATTTTTGCATGAACTATTAAGACACAGGTAAAAAATTTTATGGCAAACAAAATGTGTCTCAAAACAGGTATTTACTAGGATTAGCCACGAAAGTTTCTACAATATTCTCCCCCAATAGCCTGATTCTGTTTTACAGCACGATGAATGACTTGATAAGATTTGGCTGCTGTAAGGAATGAGTCTATCAGCCAAATGGCCAAGCTCCATTGATCCAGGTAGTACAACCCAGTGATTAAAGAGCACAAGGAGCGGCGGCCATTGTTGCTAACAGTCATCGATCTTCATGATGCACTTTGTTGATTGGCAAGTGGGAAACTCAGATGCCTACTATTCAAATTTCCTTAATGTCCGACTCAATGAATCAGTTACATAACATGGATGGATGGATGGATGGATGGATGGATGGATGGAACATAAATTTTAAGCAGTTTTCTTTAAGAATGCACATTAAAATTAACAAAATAAACATTGATTTAATTCACCTTGACTATGAGAAAGAAAGAAAGAAAGAACGAAAGAAAGAAAGAAAGAAAGACATATCTGTTCATTCTTTAACCCAAAACTTGATTTTGTTGCTGCTTAATTTTCGTCTGGAACGCTGAAAACTAGAGTCTCTTACCTGATAGGCGTCTAGCTGTTCATCAGTAAATATCAACAGACTATAAAGCTTCTGGCAGCAGAAACTATCAGAAAGTGCAACAGCTGACTAGTCAGAATGAGGTTTCTGGGTATCTTACACTGGTATTAATTAATATTTAAGCCTCTCTGAGTCCTTCTAGACTTAGTAGACTGAGATGATGTTTCGTGAAAGCATGACAGACTGCTGTTATGGGAGACAAAAGCAAGACCTTCTCACATGTTCACGCACGAGGAGGATAAAGAACAATATGATCAGATGTCCTCAGATATGCCTCAATGCTCAGACCTTAGGTTTCACATAAAGAACCAAAATAATATATGATAAAACACAGAAATTGTGATTATAAATAAAAGTGCCAAACTTCTGTGTGGTTACTACTGGTTTTAAGAACATCATGAAGATTTATAGAATTAAGTTTAAAAGCTCAAGCATAATATCTAAGATCAATATCCATCTATGGCAAACTCATTTCCTTACAAGATCCTACAAACGTTGCACTGGAAAAGACAATAAAGTCGCTTGTATGCCGCAGACAATAAACTAAGAACAAGGTGAAGCCTCATAAAAATCATACAGAACATCTCTGGGAATTTTTTTATTGATCCAAAATAAGCTTTTTTTGTTCTTGCTTTAATATATATTAAACTGCTTAAATTATTTGTTGCTGCTTAATTTTCGTCTGGAACGCTGAAAACTAGAGTCTCTTACCTGATAGGCGTCTAGCTGTTCATCAGTAAATATCGTTTGCTTATTACCCATCTTAGTCGAGTGATTTTCCTCTCGTGCAGATGCATCACATTGGTCTTCTCTGTTCTAGGCATTTATGTCCACGGGTTGGCCAGCCGAGAAAATTGGGAGGCAGCATGAAATTTCAGTCCTTCCTGAAGTAGCCTATGCCTGTTGGTGGTAAAGGCGACACTCTCCATAAATACTTTAACAGCTGAAGAAACGTTACACTTGTTTGACGCGTACCGTTCCTGACGCGCGCGGCATATACTGTCCTGTCGCTGTTCGCTCGACTCTGACTGGATAGTCAATGAAAACGATTCTAGAACCAACTAACACTTCACTCCAGCAGGGGGCAGCACTGAACACAGAGAACACTGGATAAATGCAAATATCTAAATTACACAGAGGCGGACAAAGTACACAACTCCATTACTTAAGTAAAAGTACAGATAATGCCGGTCAAATATTACTCCATTACAAGTAAAAGTTGTAAAGACAGATTTTTACTTAAGTAAAAGTACAGAAGTACTTGCTTTTAAAAGTACTTAAGTACCAAAAGTAAATGTCCTTTTTTTATGTCAATGCACTGTTTTATTATTGTTGTATGCAATACTTATACCTCTGAAGCAACTTACAATACATTACACCTACTGAATAGACTGACTAGCTTGTAGTATCTTTGGAATAAAGAGCTTTTAGAAAGTTAAAAACCTATGGGGAAAAAAAATAACAACAAAAAAATAAAATTATTATTTAACACCCCTACCCACCCCCACAAAAACAGGATGGTAGTGATCTCACACAGCTCTGGACACATCTATGTGTAGCCATTCATCCACATTTGAACAGAGTGGAGAGTGAAATTGCTGTAAATACAGACTAAGGAAGAAAATAAACAATCAAACCTACTTTAAAACCCAGCAACACAACTGTAGCTGTATAACTTTACAACAGCAACACTGCTTTAACAAAAATGCAAAACAGCAAGACTTATTTGACATCAAAAAAAAAAAAAAATGCTGTCTAATCACTCTCGCTGTACTTTGATGTCACACACAGAATGGTCTGTGCAGTGCTGCTTCAAGTCCAACACCTATTGTGTTTTATTAGGAGACGCACAACAGTTCTTCTGTGGCTTTATAGATAATATTTTCACATACACAATTTAGCAAAATCAGACAATATTGTGTCTAATATATACCACAATATTAACTTCTTATTATTGAATTGTTGTAAATAAATATCACATTTGCAACTGGTCAGTGTTCAAAAAATGCTGGGAAATCACTTCATGTAGCCCTACAAGAGTGATTACTGATAAACTGTCTGAAAAAAAGAGAAGAAAGAAATCACCCACTGACTTTCAAAGCTGCTACATAGTAACGACTTTCTACTTCGAGGACCTTGATAGAAATGTAGTGGAGTGAAAAGTACAATATTTGTCTTTCAAATGTAGTGAAGTTAAAGTCATAAGTTCCCAGAAAAAATAATACTCAAGTAAAGTACAGATACCCAAAAAGTGTACTTAAGTACAATACTCAAGTATGTACTTAGTTTCTGTCCGGCTCTGCACCTAACAAAAATCCTAATAATGTATATAGTATTTAACATTTTTTAATCATGTAAATCTCTAAGTGATATAACAGATTTACAGATGAAGTTTTGTGCTTCTAAGCACTTTCTGTTTCAGATGCTTCTGATGGCTTTCTGCAGATGACTACTTTCTCACCACAATACATGGTGTGATGCTTAGCAGCTGAGTGGGAGATAATATATGGGAAATGTAAAACAAAAGAAAAATATTGGCAAACAGGCTATTTATAATTTTGCATGACTTCGCTGTTAGATGTTGTTCATTTTTAAGCTCTTGGGGCTTGGCTTTCTAAAATGAAATGACTAATCTGTGGGTTATTTATACAGTCATTTCTCACCAAGATAATGGCCACTGGGCAGCCTACCTGGGGCTGCCTCTTTTGTGTTCAAAAATAGATCTCATTAACTCTCAAATTTGGATGGAAAAATCTTTTTCCTCTGTACACATATATAATAGAAAGAATCATTGGTCTTACAGTTAAAAATATTCTTCTTGGTTACTTTTATACATGGAAAGCAAACAATATGAGCCACAGGCAGTCTGCTTTATGTCCAGTTATAACTGACATAAATATCACAGACCCTGGTTCTCAAATAGGTTTGGCCTGGATGTATTTTGTAGGTATTTACTGCCACTGTAGAGGGTTTCCAGTGCACTGGCTTTGAAATTAATTCTATCCTAACTGGATATGCCAGAGTCAAAGCAAAGTGGAAGGGAATACCATCCAGCACTGCAACTTTTATAAACCAGGACTTTTGGAAGGTAAGGTAAAGGTGTTAAAGGTGAAGTGTGTAATTCCTGTGCCACAGGCGGCACTCATTAGAATTATAAAAATAATGGTTTTCAGACAGATTTTCAGCTTCTCTTCCATTGGCCAGTAAAATAAATAGCTCCGCCCCCAACTAATTCCATTGGTTAGGTAAATGTTGGCATGTAGGGATACTAAAACAAACATTAAAGGGGGCATTAAAGCAATGTGCACAAGCACCAGGTGGGATTTCACACAAACAATTGCCTCAATAATATCTGTTGTTTTTATTCATCGTTCGTCAGTTTATTGTACCTATATCAACACTGCAAATTTCTGTTAATAATATAGTTGATGATCATATCAGTCAGTAACCATGTCAGCTTGGGCGCTTAATGTTATGTGTTTTCTGTTATAGAATTATTTTTAGCAGTAAACTGTGTGTTTTTTAAAAAGTATTTATTTACTTCAGCGTTTATTTGTATTCCTCATCAGACAATATTGTGTCTAATATAAACCACAATATTAACTTCTTATTATTGAATTGTTGTAAATAAATATCACATTTGAAACTGGTCAGTGCTCAAAAAATGCTGGGAAATCACTTCATGTAGCATGAAGAGTGATTACTGATAAACTGCCTGAAAAAAAAGATCACGTTTTAGAGAAGAAAAAAATCACCCTGACTTTCAAAGCTGCTAACGACTTTCTACTTCGAGGACCTTGATAGAAATGTAATGAAGTGAAAAGTACAACATTTGTCTTTCAAATGTAGTGAAGTTAAAGTGAGACGCACATCAGTTCTTCTGTGTCTTTATAGGTAATATTTTCACTTACACAATTGAGCAAAATCAGACAATATTGTGTCTAATATAAACCACAATATTAACTTCTTATTATTGAATTGTTGTAAATAAATATCACATTTGAAACTGGTCAGTGCTCAAAAAATGCTGGGAAATCACTTCATGTAGCCCCAAGAGTGATTACTGATAAACTGTCTGAAAAAAAAGAAAGTCACATTTTAGAGAAGAAAAAAATCACCCACTGACTTTCAATACTCAAGTAAATGTACTTAGTTACTGTCCGCCTCTGAAATTACATTAATACTAAAAAAAAGTTTACACTTTTTATCTAATAATAACCGTAACATTATTATTTAAATTATTAGTTACTAATAAAACCTAACATTTTAAAACAACTAAAAATATAACTAAAATAGACTATAGGAAATGATTTAAGACTAAAGACCTATTCGCACGGGATTAGTATTATCTGGGGACCTTGTGTGATTTTGAAATTACCCCCACATCTGAATTTCGTGTGGTGCATTCGCACGGGATAAGCGAAGGCTGTGATTTTACTCGAATTTACTGACTTGTCTCCCGGATACCCGGATGTCAAGGCTTTGAGAGTCCTGTTCTATCAAGCAGATCTTCTTATAAAGCAAAATTGTATTTTCTTTGTGTTTCTATTTAAATAAATTCACATTGTGCTAAATATTTTCCACGAGTCACGTTACTCACTTCTTAACAGTCATCTTTCCTTCAAATGCACCTTGAACATTAACAGACTCACAAACATGGTCCGAATTCAGTTTCTTTGGATAGCTTAACTCCAAGGCATAAACAAGGCCCATTAGGTAGGTGCAAGCATGTGCTACATTGGGAATAGCAAAAAGGACCTCTGCTCCCTCGATGGCTATTTCAGTTTGCTTCTCGAGATAAAAAGGCACACAGCAAACAAAAACCTCGAAAAATGATATGCGAGCCACCAAATGCTGGCCGAATCACAGAGATGCCGATTCGCACACTGATAAAAAATTTCTGCTTGATTTACTTTTTTGCACAATTTTATTATGTAGATCAAACAAGACCAGTCTTTGTACAAACTACTTAATTTTTCTGTCTATTGAAAGAAAATTTGCACATAAAGTACACTTAATTTTAGTATTTCTTTAGTCATTTTTTGTTTATGTGATCT